AAAATCCACGCGACCACGGGGAGAGAGAGAGAGACACTGCAAACTCCAAATATTATACAGCAGCAGGCGTCGGGATCAGGGTCGAACCCACGACCTCCTGTATACCAGGCGAGGTAGTAAACTTCCCGCCACCTCGCCACCAAATGCGGAGCCCGTTACGCGCAACGCTCTCTCTCTCTCGTCGACGCGTGCGGCTCCTCCATCACAATGCATCGGGCACCTCTCTCCCATCACAGCGGCTCGCTTCACTGTTCACGCGACGCGGCTCGACGTTTTCTTCTATCAGGACAAAACCCATGGCCAAGTCGCGAACACGCACACAAAAAAAAAGACTCGCCGTGTGTCAATGTTCTTCGCAAATTTTCAGAAGGGGCATGGCACATTCGCCGATAAAACATCGCCAGTGTGTGAGGACTCGTCACACATTTGAAACCCATTGGGGGGGGGGGGGGGTTGACAGCAGCACGATGATGACGGGGTGGGTGGGGTGTTGTCACGTGTTGTGTATTGTCGACGGTCCGCTTGTCTTAATTTCACACAAGGTCACCTACGGGTCCGGTCAGTGCCCCCTCGCTGGGCCTTGCAATGAAGAACGCTGCTAGAACGCCTCCCCCCCCCCCCCCCCCCCCCTCTATGCAATGGCACAAACACCACCGCCCTCTCTCAGTAGCAGCAGCAGTTAGGGTAAAGCTGCGCGGACCAGTCGCACTGTGGCTACAGCAGGATGCGTTCCACCGGGGTTGGGTGAGGAGGCTGTGCGTGAAAGCCGAGGCGTTCATTCACCGAGTGAGCGGCGCTGTGTGCGGGATGCTGTGGGGCCACAGGATCCTGCTGGTTAATGCCGCTGCCCACAGCAGCCAGGAGGGCACCGGCGTCGCTGAAACTCACGAATCCACCATAAGCAGGTCCTTATTATCTGTAGGTCGCGGGCGGTGGTGGGGTAAAGTGTGGGTACTCCCACCTCCTCCAAAGACGTCTGGCCGGCGTGGAAGAGCAAGGTTAACAATACCTCCCCCCCACGGCGCACCTCCTCGTTGGAAGGCCCCTTCTTTTTTATCCCCACGGCAGTAGCGCGAGCCGGCAATTGCAGGGCCTGCACCTCGACCTCTCTACTCTTTGTGCAGGGTCCTTAATACCGCATCGACCCCCCCTCCCCCGTCCCCCGACCCACCCCGCCCACCCCCCGCTAAAATCGCTCGGGAAAAAAAAACGCACGGTGTGATCCCGTACAACAATACCAACAACAATCAACAACGTCCAACAAATCGACAGACGAATTGGCAACAACAGCAGCAGCAGCAACAACAAAATCAAGAGCAAGTTGGCAAACACAGCCGAGGATGGCCGGCAACGGTGGAGGTCGCGTCTCGACTCACGTGGACCTCCCCAGGCCCCCCCCCACCCCCAACGCGCGAGTCACGGCTCCGGCTCACGACGGCCTCAGAACTCGGAGCGTCCGGCCCTCAAAGTCGAGCCAGTGGCTGAAAGCCGCCGGTGCGTTGCTCAATTCGAGCTGGCTCAGCTGTGCTCCAGGATGAGGCTGGGCCAGAGCCGAGCCAGAGCCGAGCCAGAGCCGAGCCAGAGCCGAGCCAGAGCCGAGCCAAAGCCGAGCCAGCGCCGAGCCGAGCCAAGCCACGGCTGAGCCGCTCACTCCCCCCTGGCCTGGGTTCGAGGCCCATCGAGGCGCTCCGGGGGCCCCCCAGGGGGATCGCGGCTCAGAGCGCGGCGCTCGGCAAACCGAAGACGTCCCGGGCCGTCCCAGGAGACGCGCGCGCGCGTGCACGGAGCACGGCAAAGAAGAAATTAAGACCTCACGGATGGACAGAGCTGAGCGATAACACCGAGAGATAGGGAGAGGGGATACGGGGGGGGGAGGCACCCACATGGCACCGGTGGGGACTCCCTGGCAACCGTTCACCAGGCGACGAGGACGAGAGGCAGCAAGGACGACTTCATTCAAGGCTGAGGGACACGCACAGCTCCCGGGGGGGTCGGCGGGGGGGCAGTTGTGGGGGTCGGCACGGACAGAGCCTCGGCCGGACCGGCTCCGCACCGCTCGGTGAAAACACCGAAACGCCACCCAGGTCACCGGCAGCGACTGACCCTGATCTCTGCGGTGAAGTTCTCCGTCTGGTTGACGATGGCACAGCGATATCCCTCCTCTCCCTCTCCTTCCCAGGAGGGGGGGTGTAGCGAGTCGCGGCGGCTAGGAGATGTTAACGACCTCACCCGGTTTACAGGAGATCGTGGGTTCGGTCCCGACCCTGACCGCTGTATATGTGGAGTGTGCGTGTCTCTCGCCCCGTGGTCGCGTGGATTTTTCTCCGGGTCCTCCGATTTTTCCCCTCACCAACATTTAGCATCAGCATCACCACGCATTTGGAGTATAAGTCATTCCATTGGCGACAACCAGGTCGCTTCTGAAAAAGAGCAACGTAGCTCCGTGGACCTAACCTTGCAAAATAAAACTGATTTAGTTTAAGCCTGCGTCTGGATTCATTTACTATGCCCCCCTCCCCCCACTACGGAAAATAGTAATCGCTTATTAATGGCCTTGGACAAACATACACATATACAACCACGGAGCTTGGGCAATTGTCATCGGCGCTGGTTCTTGGTTCCGTTGTGCCTTCGCCCTTGCCTGCGGGTTGTCTCCGGCCCCGTGAGACCACTCCCCACGTCTCTCCGCTCGGAGAGAGAGGAGTGAACGATAACCGTTCCACCGTTACAACTCGTCCATCGTTCACGTCCGGAGGGGCCTCGGCGACGACGACACGGCCTGCTGGACACCACGCGGGGGGGGGGGGGCCCACGGCCGGGACGGGTCGCAGGACGGTCAGCTCCCGGGATCGGCCCCACAATTTAAATTCACCCCACGGCGGTCGCTCACGATGCCGATCGCAGTCCGACCGGATCGGATCCCTCACGCGTCGACCACCACTTCCGCCTTCCCACCCCAGGCCCCACCCCCCCCCGTAATTTCTTAAGCCGACACGCGCTCAACCGAGCCAGCTCGAAGCCGAGGCGTTCGTCCAGAGCTGGCTCCGAGCCACGGTCTCGGCCGCGCTCCGTGGATGTCGTCGAGCCTGAGCCTCGAGCCACGGCCGAGCGGCGGGGCGGGCCCTCACCCACCGAGCGTCGTTGGGGTTCAGAGGCCGAGCCGGCGCTCCGGTCTCCCAACAGGCGCCGAGGGTGGCGCTGCTGCGTCCACCCGCGTGGGTGGGTGGGTGGGCGGGCAAGGGTCCGCGAGGACTGGAGTTTTGGCATCTGATGGCAGCAACCTCTCCCCGCAGCAGCGATGTAAACATGTCACGCGCACGCGCACACAAACACAACAACAAAGACAAAGGTTCCCACCGCCCCCCCCCCCTCCTCCGAGTAGCCACACAGGCTGTGAGGGGGGGGAGGGGGGGGGCAAGTGCTGTTAACGAGCAACCGTGAAGGCCGGCAACGGCGCGCCTACCAAGGGGGGCGGGCCGTGGGCAGGAGCACCGCGCCCGGCCCGCCACCTCTGCGTCTTCTCCCCGGCGCCGACGTTGACGAACGGCGCCGCATCGTCAGCCGAGGCCGAGTCGACCGAGGGTAAAGGGACGGGGGCGCAACCAAGACGGGTGCGGCATTAATCCGTCACCGGCGTCGGTTGCCCCGAGCTCGAACCCACGGCTCGGGCGGGTTTTGCCGGATTCGCAGCAGCGCGCTGCGCGCTCACCACCGCCGGCGCCGTTCGCGCGCGACGCCCTATGTGCTCTATCGATATCGAACGCTCACGACACACGAAATCTTAACTTCACCGCGTACATTAGCACCTCCGGCCCCGGCCCCCCCCCCTAAACGCCACGGCCCTTCCCGTCCCGTGATTGGTCCAGACGCATCGATTGATCCCGGAGGAGGGGGGGGGGACATCTGTGCACAAACGACGATGCCATCAACGTGGCCAAGCTGTAGTCAACGCCGCGGCTCATTGCCCACGCTGCCCCAACTCTAACGCTACCGCCCCGCCGTCTCGCTCGCTATCTGGCCGCTCGCTATTTGGCATCGCGAGGACACGGCCGCCGTCAAGGCCACATTGGAGCCCCGCGGACCAATCATAAGGCGTGGGAAAGCGGTCGCCCCCCCCCACCCTCTATCTCCCCCCCCACCCCCCCCCCCATCGTGGCTCGTCCGGCCACAAACGCAGAGCGCCTACGACGACGACCACGACGACTACGACGTAACGTTGACGACGACTACGACAAACAACGACGACAACGATTACGCCACTACATCATCTGCAGATTGTCGCTTAGGGAGAGGGGAGGTTCGAGGGGGGCGGCACTGAGAGGGGGTGCGGTGGGGGGGGGGGCGCGGGGGGGGGGTGGTGTGGATGCGAGGCGGGGGGCACCGGGGAGAGCTGCTCCCCTCAACCGGATTTGGCGCCCACCCCCCCCCCTCCGCACGCCCTCCCCCCCCATCACCCACCCACCCCTTCCCGGTCGCTTCACATTTTATAAAAATTCATCGGCGGTGCAGTCCGTGTGAACGTACACGTGGACCGACAGACTCACGCACGCACACACACACACACACCCTGGCCACGCACGCACTGGGTGGGGGGTGGCAGGAGTGGCCAGCCGCCCGCCTCTCTGCGCGAGATGACTCGCACGGCACACGCAGGCACGGCTGGCGCACACAACAACGTCACGCGCTGTCGCTTGTGTTGGCTGTGGCGGTGGCGGGTACAGGTGGGGGGGGCACAGGTGGGGGGGGGGCACAGGTGGGGGGGCACAGGTGGGGGGGGCACAGGTGGGGGGGGGCACAGGTGGCAGTCTCCCGGCCTACCCCACCCCCCCGAACAACCAATCCGTGTAGACCCGCATTCCCCCCACCCACTACGGCCAAGAGATGCCGTCCCCCCCCCGCCCCCCAAATCGCAGTGGCCACCACTGCACCCCTCCTCCCCCGGCTCCTGCATCCACTCGCGTGGGGGTGGGGGCCATGTAGAGGTGGGGGTTGGGGGGGGGGGCCTCCAGACCCCGGGGCGGCCCCCCCCCCCAACCCTCCGCCCCAGGGGTGGGGGAGAGGGGTCTCAGCGCAAGGCCGGGCGACCGAGGAATGTAGCGGTGGCGGCTGAGACGAGACGCCGAGGAGACGGGGGGGCGTGGTGGGGGGAGCGTGGTGGGGACGTGGTGGGGGGGGGGGGGGCGTGGGGGGCTAGGTGGTGTCGGCAGGGTCCGCTGCCGGGGCCCGCGAGGCCCGGAACTGGGGCGCGATGGCACGGGTGTCGGGGGCGGACTGCATCACGGGGATGTATAGGTCGTCCATGTTGGGCATCACCAGGATCTTCTGTACGGGGAAAGAGAGAGGGCAGGAGGGGCACCGTCACGTCACGGGTGCGGGGTGGTGATGGTGTTGGTGATGGTGTTGGTGATGGGGTTGGTGATGGGGTTACTCTCGGTGTCTCCGCGTGACCCCTATGTGTCTGCGTGTGACCCCTATGTTTCTGCGCGTGACCCCTATGTGTCTGCGCGTGACCCCTATGTGTCTGCGTGTGACCCCTATGTGTCTGAGTGTGACCCCTATGTGTCTTCGTGTGACCCCTATGTGTCTGCGTGCGACCCCTATGTGTCTGCGTGCGACCCCTATGTGTCTGCGTGTGACCCCTATGTGTCTGCGTGTGACCCCTATGTGTCTGCGTGTGACCCCTGTGTCTGCGTGTGACCCCTGTGTCTGCGTGTGACCCCTATGTGTCTGCGTGTGACCCCTATGTGTCTGCGTGTGACCCCTATGTGTCTGCGTGTGACCCCTATGTGTCTGCGTGTGACCCCTATGTGTCTGCGTGTGACCCCTATGTGTCTGCGTGTGACCCCTATGTGTCTGCGTGTGACCCCTATGTGTCTGCGCGTGACCCCTATGTGTCTGCGCGTGACCCCTATGTGTCTGCGCGTGACCCCTATGTGTCTGCGCGTGACCCCTATGTATGTGTCTTCGCGTGACCCCTATGTGTCTACGCGTGACCCCTATGTGTCTTCGTGTGACCCCTATGTGTCTTCGTGTGACCCCTATGTGTCTTCGTGTGACCCCTATGTGTCTGCGTGTGACCCCTATGTGTCTCCGTGTGACCCCTATGTCTCTCCGTGTGACCCCTATGTGTCTCCGTGTGACCCCTATGTGTCTGCGCGTGACCCCTATGTGTCTGCGCGTGACCCCTATGTGTCTGCGTGTGACCCCTATGTGTCTGCGTGTGACCCCCGTGCGCGACACCCCCCCCCCCCCCACCCCGCGTGTGTGCGAGCAGGCCAGGCACCTGGAACTCCTGCTCCAGCTTGCTCTCAATCCACTCGGTGACGTGGGTGAAGGTCACCGTACGCTCCCCCAGCTTGGGCCTCGCCTTCAGCTCCAGCCGCGGCGGAGAGCGGAACCCGTACCTGCTCACGGCCACCACCGCAACCACCATCACCACCGCCACTACTGCAACTACCACCACCACCGCCACCAGCACCACTACCACCGCCAATAGCACCACCACCACCACCACCACCGTCGCCGCAATCACCATCACCACCGCCTATACTGCAACCAGCACCACCACCACCACCACTGCCACCAGCGCCACTACCGCCGCCGCCAACACCGCAACCACGGTTGTGATCTCCACCACTGCCATCACCACCACCACCTCACATCCCACCCACCCACCCACTCTCTGCTCTCTACTTGGCCCTCGCTGCCGATTTATATTGGGTGGTTATTTATCGCTCGGGATTTCTCCTTTTCGCTTCGCCGCCGCGGCTGCTTCCTCTGCCACCGCTGTTGAGATTCCCTGGCGACCCCCGGTCGACCACCCAGCGCGGCTCTTGCACCCGAGACCCGGACTCCTCTCCCTCTCTCCCCCTCTCGTGCTCTCTCCCTCTCTCTCTTGCCCGGCCCGGACGACGCCACCCCAAATCGGCGCGCCAGCCTAGAAGACCCCGAAACCCTTATTCTTTGTTTTTTTTCGGTAAAGCCAAGTAGAAATAATAAAATAACATAATAGTGTACGACGTTTCGATTGCAACACAAGCAATCATCATCAGGTACAGAAGAGCTAAATTTACATGAGAGAGATGAGACACATAACCGCAGATATATATACAGACACAGATACAACAGGTGATACAGAGAGAGAGAAACGTGGGAGCACACGAAATCAAACAGGTTTTAGCAAGATTTGGAAACCATATAACGCAACACAGGTCCTTGAACCTGAACCACCGCCTCACCCACCACCCCCACCCCCCCGCCGCCGGGCAACGACAGCCGGATATCGCGAGGCTTCAGATCCCTGTGCACTGGGGGGGGGGGGGTGTGGGGGGGGGGGAGGGGCTCACCAGATTCTGTCGGTGGGTGGCGGAGGGATGTTGAGCGCCAGCACGCCCTGGCACTCCTGCAGCGACACGGTGAGCATGAGCGGCGTGTTGGACACCTCCTCCATCTTCTTCTTGATGAACTCGTTCTCCGTGGCGCGCTGGAAGTAGCGCGACTTGGTGATCTTGTCCACCAGCCGCAGGATCTTGCTGCTCGTGCGGCCGCCGCCGCCGCCCACGAAGCTACGGGCGCGTGGCGGAGAGGGCACACGCACGGTCAGCCGTGAGCAGAGCGCGGGGCTGTGTGCGGGCTGTGTGCGGGCTGTGTGTGTGCTGTGTGTGGGCTGTGTGTGTGGTCTGTGTGCGGTCTGTGTGTGTGGTCTGTGTGTGGAGTTGGTGGTGCGGGCTGTGTGTGGGGTTGGTGGTGCGGGCTGTGTGTGGGGTTGGTGGTGCGGGCTGTGTGTGGGGCGAGTGGTGCGGGCTATACGCTTGGCCAATGCTGTAGGCTGTGCTTGGCGCTGCTGTGTAAGTTACCCCTGAAGCCTAACTACCGTGAGAGTGAGCGAGTGAGTGAGTGACTGAATGAGTGAGTGAGCGAGTGACTGAATGAGTGAGCGAGTGACTGAAAGAGTGAGCGAGTGACTGAATGAGTGAGTGAGCGAGTGACTGAATGAGTGAGCGAGTGACTGAAGGAGTGAGCGAGTGACTGAATGAGTGAGCGAGTGACTGAATGAGTGAGCGAGTGACTGAATGAGTGAGCGGGTGACTGAATGAGTGAGCGGGTGACTGAATGAGTGAGCGAGTGAATGAGTGAGTGAGCGAGCGAGTGACTGAATGAGTGAGTGAGCGAATGACTGAATGAGTGAGCGAGTGACTAAATGAGTGAGCGAGCGAGTGAATGAGTGAGTAAGCGAGTGACTGAATGAGTGAGCGAGTGAGCGAGAGTGACTGAATGAGTGAGAGAGTGACTGAATGAGCGAGTGACTGAATGAGTGAGTGAGCGAGTGAATGAGTGAGTGAGCGAGTGACTGAATGAGTGAGCGGGTGACTGAATGAGTGAGCGGGTGACTGAATGAGTGAGCGAGTGAATGAGTGTGTGAGCGAGCGAGTGACTGAATGAGTGAGTGACCGAGTGACTGAATGAGTTAGCGAGTGACTAAATGAGTGAGCGAGCGAGTGAATGAGTGAGCGAGCGAGTGAATGAGTGAGTGAGTGAGCGAGTGACTGAATGAGTGAGCGAGAGTGACTGAATGAGTGAGCGAGTGACTGAATGGGTGAGCGAGTGACTGAATGGGTGAGTGAGCGAGTGACTGAATGAGTGAGCGAGTGACTGAATGAGTGAGTGAGCGAGTGACTGAATGAGTGAGTGAGCGAGTGAATGAGTGAGTGAGCGAGTGACTGAATGAGTGAGCAGGTGACTGAATGAGTGAGCGAGTGAATGAGTGAGTGAGCGAGCGAGTGACTGAATGAGTGAGTGAGCGAGTAACTGAATGAGTGAGCGAGTGACTAAATGAGTGAGCGAGCGAGTGAATGAGTGAGTGAGCGAGTGACTGAATGAGTGAGCGAGTGAGCGAGAGTGACTGAATGAGTGAGCGAGTGACTGAATGAGTGAGCGAGTGACTGAATGAGTGAGTGAGCGAGTGACTGAATGAGTGAGCGAGTGACTGAATGAGTGAGTGAGCGAGTGACTGAATGAGTGAGTGAGCGAGTGAATGAGTGAGTGAGCGAGTGACTGAATGAGTGAGCGGGTGACTGAATGAGTGAGCGAGTGAATGAGTGAGTGAGCGAGCGAGTGACTGAATGAGTGAGTGAGCGAATGACTGAATGAGTGAGCGAGTGACTAAATGAGTGAGCGAGCGAGTGAATGAGTGAGTAAGCGAGTGACTGAATGAGTGAGCGAGTGAGCGAGAGTGACTGAATGAGTGAGAGAGTGACTGAATGAGCGAGTGACTGAATGAGTGAGTGAGCGAGTGAATGAGTGAGTGAGCGAGTGACTGAATGAGTGAGCGAGTGAATGAGTGAGTGGGCGAGTGAATGACTGAATGAGTGAGCGAGCGTTTGAGTGACCCAGGCTGACCCTCACCCCTCGGCGCTGGGTGTCTGGCTCTTGTCTCCGAGCGGGCCGGGCAGGTCGGCGGCGAGTGGCGCCGGTTCATCGTCCTCCTCCGAGGAGCCGGCGCTGGACGACTCCTCGTCGCTATCGGCCAGCGAGCACGCCTTGAGCCGCAGGCTGGGCACCGGCACACGCACGGCATGGCAAGCGCGGTACGTGACGCGCGGTACCACTAACAAATACAGCCACTCACTCGCGCGTACACCCATGCGCTCGTAAAAAGACAAAGATCCCCCGAATAGCACTTAGTAATATTTTGGGGGCAAGGGCTGTTTAGCGAGCTGCACCAATGAAGGCTGGCACGGCACATGAGAGAGTGAGATTGCCACCACCACACCCGGCCACCCTCGTCTCCCGAGCGATGATGTTTTACACACCGCACACACACACTTACCCATACGCACGCACGCTTATTCATCCGCCCGCTCACCCACCCACCCCGCTCAACCACTCATGCATAGATACATCCATTCACTCACAAGCGCACCCGCTCGCTCAGCCATCTGCCTGCTCGCTCGCTTGCCTATCCACCAGATCACCCGCTCACCCATTTGCTCATTCGCCCACCAACTCATTCATCCACCCGCTCACCCACTCACCCATCCACCCGCTCACTCATCCACCCGCCCGTCCGCGCGCTCACCTCGCCCAGCCACTCACTCATCCACCCACCCACCCGCTCGCCAGCAGCACTCACCCCTCGTCGCTGGCGGCCTCCACTGCCTTGCCCAGGCGGGTGAGGTTCATCTTGGTCTCCAGCGTCATGGTGAAAGAGCCGGAGTAGGACACGTCCAGGTCCACCCACAGACCTGCAACACAAAGACAAAGGTCTCCTCTGTGTGTAGCCTAAAAAAGGACCGTTGGGGCACGTGCTGCGAGGGGGTGGGCGGCCAGGAGCACCGAGCCCGGCCGCCTTTGTCTCCCCGGCGCTGATGTTTTTTCCACGCTGCACCGGGTACTCCTTTGAAGGCTGAGCCGACCTAGGGGAGCCTCAAGAACGGTTCAGATATTCATCGCTGACGTTATTCATGAGCTCCCCACACACACACACAACAACAAAGTCTACGGGCCTCTATGCGAGTCGATGGGTCTCCGTGCGAATCTACGTCGGCGTACTTCACGAATAATAATTATCAGAGGGGGAACCACTTTCGCCAATCGTCAGATGTGCGGAGGGCCGCCACAATGACGACGATGACGACGATGATGATGATGGGTGGCGTTTTTGTATTGTCAGGAGCCGCACAGATGAAGCTGCGTCAGACTCTGGGCCGAGTCCGTCTACAACCGGCGCTGCCAGCGGGACGCTTGCAGGCGGTGCGGGGTGGTGCGAGGTGGCGCCGGCGCCGCTCACCCTGGTGGTCGACGGAGAGCTTGGTGGTGCGTAGGATGCGCGGCACGGAGGAGCCCATGTCCAGCTCGGTGAGACGCAGCTCGTTCATGAAATACGGCAGCTGCGGAGATCGGGAACGGCGCTAGCGGCTCAGCACGGACGGGCACACTCACAATGCTGTGCGTGTGTCAGAGTGTGTGTTTACAAGTGTAGCGATAGTGTAGCGGTTAGCGCGCTGCGCTATGAACCTGGCGACCCGGGTTCGATTCCCGCTCACGGCCAACACCAGTGACGATTATCTGAACCGGTCCCGGGCCTCCCCTAGGTCGACTCAGCCTCAAATGAGTACCTGGTGCGGCGTGTAAACATTGCTACTAGGGAGACAAAGGCGGTCGGGCGTGGTGCTGGCCACCCACCCCCTCGTGTACCGTTCCGGCCTTCATAGGTGCTCGCTAACAGCACTTGCCCTTACAGTCTGTTAAGGCTATATGGGGGATCTTTGTTCTTTGTTTTGTGTGTACATGGCCTGGTACAAGCGTCGTGGTGACGTCACCGCCACTTAGTGGCAAATGGCGGTTGTTGTTGTTGTGGGGAGCGGTAGTGCAGCAGTAGGCATGCTGTGCGCTATGAACCCGGCGACCCGAGTTGGATTTCCGCTCACGGCCAACACCGGTGGGCGATTATCTGTACCGGTTCTGCGCCTCCCCTGGGTCGACTCAGCCTCAAATGAGTACCTGGTGCCGTGTGTAAACGTCGCCACTGGGGAGACAAAGGCGGCAAGGGGCGTGGTGCTGGCCACCCACCTCCTCGTGTGCCGTGCCGGCCTTTAAGAGGTGCTCGCCAGCAGCACTTCCCCAGTGCTGCGAGCCTATTAAGGCAATTACGGGGGATCTATGTCCTTGTGAGTGGATGGGTTACTCATGTATGCGTATGTATGTTGAACTTCTTTTGCGCCGCACGTGGCCAACCATGCGACCTCCTGACATATTCGCTCGGCAACCGGAAGCCGATGCCGCTCGGCGAGCACCGGAACGACGCTCGCCGAGAGTTTTGTACGCGCCGCAGAACCGCCAACGGTTTTTTATTTTTCTGCACAGACGATGCGCCGCTTCCGTCGGGAGGAGGGGCACGCACCTTGATCTTGCTGAGCTTCTTCTGGATCTTGCCCGAGACCCAGTCGGCCCAGTGCTTCTCCTGCAGGAAGTCCCAGAGGACGCGGCCCACCACGGCGTTCAGCCACGCCAACTGCGGGCCGCCCTCCTCGTCGTCCCCGGGGCCGCCCTGCGCCGACACGCGTCGCCCACGGCGAAGAAAATCCGCGCTCTCGCTCTCTCCCTCTCACTGGACGATCTGCTCGCTCGCTCGTTCCGCCCCGCCCGCCTGCCCGGCAGCCGCACGCCGCCGAGCGACGCGAGCGCCGGATTGGGCGACTCGCACGGCCGACGCCGCCCCCCTCCAGGGTTGACGCAAACTACCAAAGCAAGCCCTGATTGGCCGATTTGGTCACCCAGCACCGCGTGTCGGTGAGTGACACGAGCACCGATTGGGCAACTCGCACGGTTGCCCTGGTTGTTTGCATGTCTGTTGAACTTCTTTCGCACCGTGCGTAGCCAACCGCGCTAATCGGAGGTGCGGGGGAAAGACAACAAACTAAACACAAAAAGCAGTTCTGAAAGAAACGAGATTTCAATATAAATTATTTTAAAGCGCACAGCTTCAATGGCAAATGACCAAAGCAAGGCCTGATTGGCCTATTCGGCCACCCTGCAGCACACATGACGGAGTGACACGGGCGCCGATTGGCGTGAGTGGATGTGTGAGTGTACGAGTGAGCGAGTGTGCGAATGGGTGAGTATATGTGGGGAGCGGTAGTGTAACGGTTAGCGCGCTGCACTACGAACCCGGCGGCCCGAGTTCGATTCCCACTCACGGCCAACACCACCAGTGACGATTATCTGAACCGGTCCCAGGCCTCTCCTAGGTCGACTCAGCCTCAAATGAGTACCTGATACGGTGTGTAAACATCGTCACTGGGGAGACAAATGCGGCCGGGCGTGGTGCTGGCCACCCACCCCCTCGTGTGCCGTCCCGGCCTTCACAGGTGCTTGCTAACGGCACTTGCCCCAACAGTCTGTTAAGGCGATACGGGGGGATCTTTGTCTTTGTACATACAAGTGAGTGTACGGTTGATGTGTACGGGTGAGTGAGCATATGGGCGAGCGTACGGGTAAGTGAGACACCGTGCGAGTCTGCGTGAGCAGGCGAGTGTGAATGAATAAATGGATGAGCGGGTGAGCGTACGGGTGAGCGAACGGGTGAGCGTACGGGCGAGCGAGTCACCGTGCGTGCGTGCGTGGGGCTGCTGTCGGCGCTGCGGGCCGGGCTCCGTGCCACCGTCCCCGCGGGCCCCGTGCCCTCCGCGTTCTCGGGGAGGAAGGGCGCCAGGTAGGCCACGTAGTCCAGCGCCCAGCGCCGCCCGGGCCCGCCGGCCTCTCGCGGCGGGGGGCAAGGGTCGTCGCCGACGGCGACGGCGGCGAGCGGCCGCCCCTTGGCGTCGCTGCCGCTGCCCAGGCTGTTGTTGCGGCTGTGCGACAGTCGACCGAACTGGCCGTCGCTTCGGCTGTGTCCCGCCAACAGACCTAGGGGTGGCACGACCACAGGTAGCATCAGCGGCGGCAGCATTGAGATCGTGACCGCAGTTACCGCATTTCGCACGCCGTTTGGATCCAATAGCACTGACTGTAGCTGCCCCAGGGTCGGTGTCGTCTTGGCATCTCCACTCCCTGCCACCCTCCGTCCTCATTCACACCGACTCGATTACTAAAACCACGAAAGTTTAAGTGCGAATGTAATTTTCGCGACACGATTGCTCTCGTCACGTTTTTTTTTTGTTTTAAATCGGTAATTGTGGAATGCTTTGACGTCTGCCAATGGAGCCACCCTTGGGAAAAGCAAAAAAAAAAAGATTCTTAGCTCAATGGGCTCAGTGGGGAAATAAACTTCTGATTCTAACTTCTGATCATCAGGTGGCGGTGGTGGCGGCTATGCGGCTGCCCCGTGATACTACGCTGTGTGGAGGCAGCAGCAGCGCGGGTTGGTGACTCACAGGCGGATCTTGCGAAAATCCCCTTCCCGTGGGTGGACGTCGAGGAGGACACAACGGCGAGTCAGTCGTCGTGGTTGTACCGCCGCCGGCATCGTCGACACGGTGGCTATGAGATGTTATCTCCCTCGCCTGGTATACAGGAGGTCGTGGGCTCGATCCCAACCCTGACGTCTGCGTCTCTCTCTCTCTCTCCCCATGGTCGCGTTGATTTTTCTCCGAGTCCTCTGAATTTTCCCCTCCACGTTTAGAAATCAACGTCACACGTTTAAAGTATTTGGCTGCTGCTATGGATTTCCACGTGATGATGGTAAGCCACTTCGTTGGAGCTATCATCATTTGTGATGGCCAGGTCGCTTCTGAAAAAAAAGCTATACAGCTCAGTGCGGCCTTACCTGGTGAAATAAAAATAGTAACGTTTTTTATTCGTGGTGAACCGTGGACCGGCCAAGACCGGGAATCGAACCTGTCAGGGCCTTGCCTCCTCCTCCCGCCCTCTTGAGCGCAGACGCTCGGAGAAACCGGCGGAACCACTCCTCCTTGTCGCGGCCCGTTCGCCCAAACAGGTAGAGCACCTTCTCCGGCCTCGCCTCCGTCTCCACGGCAACCTCCGTACCCACCGCACCGCCACCGCCGCCCCCCTCCGCCGCCTCCTCCTCTTCGCCCCCCTCCACCGCCGCCGCCGCCGCCGCCGCGACCGCGGCGCCCCCCGCCGACGCGCCGCCTTGCTGCTGCTCGGCATTTTGGGAGGAGAGGTCAGGGGGCACGGCGGGGGGGCGGTCGTCGGGGTCGCGGGCGCGCGATGCCAGCACGACGCAGATCGGGTACTTCTGGTTCCACAGCCGCTTGTTGGCGAGGCCGGGGGGTACGAGGAACACCTGGGGGGGGGGGGGGGGCACGGAGGAGGGGGGTGATAGAGGTGCCAGGTAGAAGCTGCTATGGTCGTTCTCAGAGCGAGATTCACTTCACTCCACCAGATCCTACACGTCCACTCCACCAGATCCTACACGTTCACTCCACCAGATCCTACACATTAATTCCACCAGACCCTACACATTCACTCCACCAGACCCTGTACATTCACTCCACCAGACCCTACACATTCACTCCACCAGACCCTACAAATTCACTCCACCAGACCCTACACATTCACTCCACCAGATCCTACACATTCATTCCACCAGACCCTACACATTCACTCCACCAGACCCTACACATTAATTCCACCAGACCCTACACATTCACTCCACCAGACCCTACACATTCACTCCACCAGACCCTACACATTCACTCCACCAGACCCTACAAATTCACTCCACCAGACCCTACACATTCACTCCACCAGATCCTACACATTCATTCCACCAGACCCTACACATTCACTCCACCAGACCCTACACATTCACTCCACCAGACCCTACACATTCACTCCACCAGACCCTACACATTCACTCCACCAGACCCTACACGTTCACTCCACCAGATCCTACACATTCACTCCACCAGAACCTACACGTTCACTCCACCAGACCCTACACATTCACTCCACCAGACCCTACACATTCACTCCACCAGACCCTACACATTCACTCCACCAGACCCTACACATTCACTCCACCAGACCCTACACGTTCACTCCACCAGACCCTACACGTTCACTCCACCAGACCCTACACATTCACTCCACCAGACCCTACACATTCACTCCACCAGACCCTACACATTCACTCCACCAGACCCTACACATTCACTCCACCAGACCCTACACATTCACTCCACCAGACCCTACACATTCACTCCACCAGACCCTACACGTTCACTCCACCAGATCCTACACATTCATTCCACCAGACCCTACACGTTCACTCCACCAGACCCTACACATTCACTCCACCAGACCCTACACATTCACTCCACCAGACCCTACACATTCACTCCACCAGATCCTACACGTTCACTCCAATCCCCAAAGCACTGCTGCAATAATTCACTCCAATAAAAAAAAATACAATTCCACCAACAGATTCTGCTCGACAGCGCCATCCGTCGCAATGCGTGGCAACGGTTGGCGCTGCGACGCTGCGACCCAGCTGGTACCGGCGCCCGCGGGCAACCACGCCGGGGGTGGTGGACGACAAGGTCGCCAGCCCGGGAGTGGGGGGTGGTGGGGGGTGGTCTTGTCGCGGGTAGCGCCCTGCGACGTGAGTTTGACTCCCACTCACGGCCTTCAACACCGCCAGTGACGATTATCTGAACTGGTCTTGGGCCTCCCCTAGGACGACTCGGCCTCAAACGAGTACCCGGTGCGGTGTGTGAACATCGCCACCGGGGAGACAAAGGCGGTCGGGCGTGGTGCTGACCACCCACACCCTCGTGTGCCGTGCCGGCCTTCATAAGTACTACTCGCTAATGGCACTTGCCCCAACAGTCTCTTAAGGCTATATGGGAGATCTTTGTGTTTGTATTTGGGGGGGGGGTGGGGAGGGGTAGGAGGGGGGTGGTGGGGTTTAATTTTCCAGAAATGAAATCTGTGTCGTGCCATGCCCTCTGATTTACCGCGCTTGACGGACGGAGCGTCCCGAGTTGTTTATTGTAATCGGGCGAGATGCCTGGCGGCGGCGCCGGCGCTCTCAATACATCATACTAGGGGGGGGGGGGCAGGGGGGAGATGAATGGAGCGAGGGTTCAAGCGTGGCCACGGGGCTACCGGCGCGGGCATCGCGGGCGAGGAGAGGCCCGCACGGACGGGTGCACGAGCCTGCTCGCCGGTACCCACCACACTACCCCCCCCGGGAATGATTGGGAGGTTCGCCGGTTCTTTCATTGGCTGGCACCGCACGCTGACCATGTCTCATCGACCCCCAGCATAGGTTGACAACTTCCACACGCACTCAGACGACACACTCGCTCAACTTTTCACCCTCTCAGCCACCCGCCCACACACACTCACCCACTCGCTAATCAACACACTCCACAGACACACTCACTCACACTCAGCCACCCACAATACACTCAACCACTGACTCAACCGCTCGCACACCTCAGCCACTCGTGCACCGACCCACCCACTGACCCACAAACTGCGAGCCGAGCCAAGCGATGACGAACTGGCGTGAGACTCCACCTCTGGGCCCCCTTGATTTAGGCAACCGAGGGTAAAGCCACAGCGAGTCCCGGAGACTCTCCTATAAGGAGGCTCCTGCTGCATTGAGACGTTTGGCCGGTTTCACTTCACCGTGTGGGAGGCAAATAAAAAAAACCCCAGCAAACCCCCGAGTGCAAAACCACAATTTGTCACTTCGCACGAGCTCTCTTGCTCTCTCTCACGCCCCCTTATCCAAGAGGAGCTGCAGCCGGATCTGGCATGCGTGTGTCTGTGTGTGCCTGTGTGTGTGTTTGTGTGTGTGTCTGGCTAGCGATAGTGTAGCGGTTAGCGCTACGCTGCGCTATGAACCTGGCGACCCGAGTTCGATTCCCGCTCACGGCCAACACCAGTGACGATTATCTGAACCGGTCCCGGGCCTGCCCTAGGTCGACTCAGCCTCAAATGAGTACCTGGTGCGGTGTGTAAACATTGCCACTATGGAGACAAAGGCGGTCGGGCGTGGTGCTGGCCACCCACCCCCTCGTGTACCGTTACCGGCCTTCATAGGTGCTACTCGCTAACAGCACTTGCCCCTACAGTCTGTTAAGGCTACACGGGGGATCTTTCATCTTTGTTTGCGCGTGTGGGTAGCGGTAGTGTAGTGGTTCGCGCTACGCTGCGCTACGGCGACCTAATTCGATTCTCGCTCACGGCCATAATCAGCGACGATTAATGGAACCGGTGCTGGGCCTCCACTAAGTCTACTCGGCCGCAAATGAGTACATGGAGCGGTGTATAAACATCGCTACTGGGGAGACAAAGGCGGCCGGGGGTGGTGTTGGCCACCCTCCGCCTCTTGTGTGTTGTGCCGGCCTTCGTAGGTACAATCTCGATTTGAAGTTTTCGTGACTGCAGGGACCCATACTCTTTGGTTCTTACGGTAAAGTCACGACGTTTCGATTGCGACACAAGCAATCTGATGATGATGATGATTGCGACACAAGCAATCTGATGATGATGATTGCGACACAAGCAATCTGATGATGATTGCGACACAAGCAATCCGATGATGATTGCGACACAAGCAATCCGATGATGATTGCGACACAAGCAATCTGATGATTGCGACACAAGCAATCTGATGATTGCGACACAAGCAATCCGATGATGATTGCAACATAAGCAATTGCCTGTGATGCAATCGAAACGTCGTGATTACATTTATTGTATTTTTCTACCTACGTGACTTTACCGAAAGAACCAAAGAGTATTCATAGGTTCTACTCGCTAGCAGCACTTGCCCCAACAGTCTGGTAAAGACTACACGTGTGTGCGTCACACGCTCGTGTGTGACATGCTTGTGCGTGTGTGTGTCGCACACGCGCGTGTGTATCGCGTGTGTGTGTGTGGCGCGCGTGTGTGTGGCGTGTGTGTCGCGTGTGTGTGTGTCGCGCGTGTGTGTGTGTCGCGCGTGTGTGTGGCGCGTGTGTGTGTGTGGCGCGTGTGTGGCGTGTGTGTGGCGCGTGTGTGGCGTGTGTGTGGCGTGTGTGTGTGTCGCGCGTGTGTGTGTGGCGCGTGTGTGTGTGGCGCGTGTGTGTGTGGCGCGTGTGTGTGTGTCGCGCGTGTGTGTGTGTCGCGCGTGTGTGTGTGTGTCGCGTGTGTGTCGCGTGTGTGTGTGTGTCGCGTGTGTGTGTCGCGTGTGTGTGTGGCGTGTGTGTGTCGCGCGTGTGTGTGTGTCGCGCGCGTGTGTGTCGCGTGTGTGTGGCGTGTGTGTGTGTGGTGTGTGTGTGTGTAGTGTGTGTGTGTAGTGTGTGTGTGTAGTGTGTGTAGTGTGTATGTCGCGCGTGTGTGTAGTGTGTGTGTAGTGTGTGTGTAGTGTGTGTATGTAGCGCGTGTTGCGCGCATGTGTCGCACGTGTTGTTCGTGTGTGTGTCGCTCGTGTGTGTGTTGCGTGTGTGCCGCGCACGTGTCACCTGGCTGTCCGTGAGGTCGTAGTGGCTCTGCGCGATGAAGTGCGCCTCCTTGCGCGCCTCCCCGTAGAGGGCGCGCCGCGGGAGGTTGCGCAGCGGCCTCGACAGGCGCAGCGTAGAGCCCTCGAGGCGCACGAACACGGAGCGCGTGAGCGCCGCGTGGTACGTCTCGGCGTCGTAGCCGCTCAGCTCGTTCATCCAGCCCTGCCGCACCACCCGACGGGTCAACCGCCCCGTCAGCCGCCGCGTCAACCGCCCCGTCAACCGCCCCGTCAACCGCCGCGTCTGCCGTCGCGTCTGCTACAAACTGAACTATTTAGTGCCAGGCGAGGCCCCACCGAGGTGCTATGTAGCTCTTGTTCAGACCTGGCCGTCACAAATGATAGCTCAACGAAGTGGCTCGTCATCGTCATCGTCGTCGTCGTCATCGTGGTCGTGGTCGCGTGTAAATTAACAGCTGTGGCCAAAAACTCAAAACGCGTGGTGACGTCGATGATAAACGTGGGAGGGAAAAACCGGAGGACCCAGAAAAATTCCACGCGGCCACGGAAAGAGGCATGCAGGCATCAGGGTCGGGATCGAACCAACGACCTCCTGCATACCGGGTGAGGGAGTTAACATCTCCGAGCCACCGTGGTGGCAGCGTCGTAGCCTGCCGCACGACCATGGCCACCACCACTACCGCTGCATCTCCGATTAGCGCGGTTGGCTACGTACGGCGCGAAAGAATGTTCAACGTACGTTTGTACACCACAACCGCGCTCCTGGTCTCGTCAACAATGGCACCCACAACACATCATCCACCACCACCACGCAAGACGACCACAACCGCACCATCGCAGCCACCGTAGCCTCCGCTCCGCCCATGGGTTCGCGGTCGCGCCGTACCCGGTATATCTCAGGCTCTCGGACGTCGAGCTTGGCCCCGGCTCGCTCGCGCCCCTCCAGCGCCAGGGGCCGGCGCCGGTAGCAGCGCCGCGGCGACGCCGTCAACCACACCAGCGCCACGGCGATCGCGAAGCCGAGCGCCAGCCCCAGCGCCAGCCCGCAAGCGTACTGCGGCAGCGGCAGCACTTGGTACGCGTACACCAGTAGCGCCAGCGCGGCCAGCCGCCACGCCGGCGGGCGCGGCAGCGCCGGCGCCCGCCCCGTGTCTCCGGCGCCGGCGCCGCCCTCCTCTTCCTCGTCGTCCAAGTCGCGGTCGGCCAGCTCCGACTCGGGGGAGTCCTTGCCGCGTCGGGCGTCAAGGTCGCCGGCGCCGGCGGGCGGGTCGGCGGCGTCGGACGACGCCGAGGGATCGGCGTCCACGGCGAAGTCCTCGTCGTCGTCGTCGTCGTCGTGGCGGCTCGCGAGCTCCGACAGCGACAGCTTCTCGGGGAATCCGAGCGGGAAGCGGTCGCGGGCGGCGCCGGCTTCCACCGCCACCGCCGGCGCTGCTGGCGCTGGGGAGGAGAGGCATGGCGGCGGAATCGTGACCTCTGCCGCGTGGCGGGAGCGCCCGGCGTGACGCGCGCGGTCGCGTCATCGTCGACGGCAACCCTTTGAGCGCTGGGTTTGTTTTGTTTATTGCCAGGTTTTGGGCAGGAATGCCGCGCCGTGACCCCCGTTGCCGTGACCCCCGTTGCCGTGACCCCCGTTGCCGTGACCCCCGGAGCGGTTAGCGCTACGCAGCGCTACGAATCCGGCAGAGACCAGAGTTCGATTCCTACTCCCGGCCAACACCGGTGATGATTATCTGAAAACGGTCCTGGGCCTCCCCTTAGGTAGGCTCAGCCTTAAGCGAATACCTATTAAGAGTGGGTAAATATCCGCACTGGGGAGACAGTGGTGGCCGGGCATGGTGGTTCCACGGGCCACACCAACCCCATCCTGCCACGGTGAGCGCCGTTCACAGCACTTGCCCCAACAGCCCGCGCGAGCTACACGGTGGGGCGGAGACCTCTGCCTTCGCATTCGTTTCGTCGACCGCTCACCTGCCGGCGCCTCGTCCTCCGCGTTGGAGGTCGCGGGGGCCCGGGGGGCGTTGCCGGGCGACGCCTCGCCGGGCCGGGCCCGCCGGCGCCGCGCGGCCTCGCCGTCGGCGCCGGGACGGGCCCCGCGGGCCGGGCGGGCGCAGTCGCCCCCGGAGGTCGCGGCGCCCGCCGATGCCGGCGAGGAGGAGGAAGCGGCGGCGGCGTCGTCCACGTCGCACCTGCACCTCCCACGGGGTCGCGGAGTCACAGGTGAGGTGGAGTCACATGGGCGACGCGGGGTCGCGGGGTCGCGGGGTCGCGGGCGACACGGGGTCACGAAATAACGAAACAGACGATTCTTACCAGATCCGTCCGTCCGCCGTAAAAATAAGTGCCGAGTATTATTTCACACATCCCGTCAGCCACACGCAAGGGCCATCTCCGGGAGCGCGCGACTGTCAGCAGCGTCGGTTCAGGACAGGCCACAAAACACCGAAGCGAACCCTCGAAGCCGTTTCGACGCTCGGCATCTCGTCGAGGCGGACTCGCACTGCCGAGAAGCAACGCGCCGCCGGCGAACCTCCGGAGCCTCCCCCTCTCCGTCTAGACACGGCCCCCGGTGCGACCGGCGCTCGACTCCGGAAGGCGCAAGGTGATCGCGAGCGACGCCGCCGCCGCCATCGCCGCCGTCGTCGCGAGTGCAGTTTACGCGACGGGGAGTCGGCCTCCCGGAGGGGAGTTTAATCGACGGAAGGGACGGGGAGGTGGTGGCCGAGAGGCGTGGGGGGGGGGGGGGGGTGGTGGGGGAATCGTTACAAAGTACGATTTACCAATTTTCACTTCGCCAGGTAAGGCGGCGGCGGCGGAGCTGCGTCGTGGTAATTTTTCAGAAGCCGCGCGGCCGCCACAAATGATCGCTCAGCGAAGTAGCTTATCATAATCATCATCGTCGTCGTCGTCGTCATCGTCGTCGTCATCGTCGTGTGGACATTTGTAGCAGTAGCCAAATAATGTCTAAACGCGTGGTGCCCTTGATTCTAAATGCGGAGGGACAAAACCGGAGGAACCGGAGAACGGGGAGAGAGAGAGAGGGAGAGAGAGACGCAGACCTGTATACCAGGCGAGGGAGTCAACACCTTGCCAACGCGGCGCCTCAATCGCCAACACCGCTGGCACAGGCGAGCCGAGGGGGAGGGTGGGGGCGCCCGCGTTGCCCCGGCGCTGCTGGCAATCGAGCAGAGCGATCGGCCGAATCGTTCGCGGCTGCTCTCTACGAGGCGGAGGACAGACCGCGGCCCGGTGGGCTCAAGCACGGTCAAAACCGAGGTCTGCGTGGGATCAGTAGGTTTCAGCGTGGGGGTCAGCCTGGGGACAGCGTGAGGGGTCAGCCTGGGGTTAGCGTGGGGGGTCAGCCTGGGGTTAGCCTGGGGTCAGCCTGGGGTCAGCGTGAGGGGTCAGCCTGGGGTCAGCGTGAGGGGTCAGCGAGGGGTCAGCCTGGGGTCAGCGTGGGGGGTCAGCCTGGGGTCAGCATGGGATCAGAAGGTTTCAGCGTGGGGGGTCAGCCTGGGGTCAGCGTGGGGGGTCAACCTGGAGTCAGCGTGAGGGGTCAGCCTGGGGTCAGCGTGGGATCAGTCAGTGTGGTATGGTGGGGGTCGGCGTGGGATCACGAGGCTCGCGTGCCCTCACCGCGCCGCGTCACCGGTGGCGACGGCCGTGCCGTCCGCGCCGGGGCTGCTGTACATCACGGCGAGCTCGGTGGCCCCCGGCTCGGCGTTGTGCCGGCGCGACGAAGAAGACGCCGCCGCCGCGCCGCCGCCGGCGCCGGCGCCGCCCGTGCCGGTCTCCTCGCCGGCCATGATCTTGCTGAGCAGCAGCATGGGGTCGTGGATGACCTCCGAGAATCGGCGCCGCGTGTCCTCGATGCGCGACTCCACCTCGGGCACGCGGAAGAACGACGCGCGCCCGTCCGACGGCGACGGCAGCGGCGACGACGGCGCCGTCTTCGAGTCGCCGCCGGCGCCGTTGGCGAGCGACGAGCCCAGCGCCGACGACACGGTCAAGCGCGGCTGCGTCAGCTGGCGCCACAGCTGCAGGTTGATGCGCGACGAGTCGCCGCCGGACGCGGGGGCGCGCGGGGCCGGCGCCGGCGCCGTCGCCGGGGCGCAGCGGTCGCCTCCGTCCTGCACGTCGGATGACAGCGACTTGACGAGGTTGATGAGCTTCTTTGGCTTCAGCGACGACGAGGAGGAGGGGGTGGTGCAGGCGCCCGGCGCCGCCGTCGACGCCGGCGCCTCCGCCTCGGCGCCCAGCGACTTCACGAGGCTCACGAGCGGCCGGGCGACGGCGAGGGCGTGCGAGGGCGACGCGCGGCTCGCGACGGGCGGCTCCCCCGCCGGCGCCCCCCGCACGGTGCTCACCGGCGGCCGCGCGCCGTCCAGCGCGAACAGCGCCGGCGGGGTCGGCGCCGGCGGCTGCAGCGAGCTCACGGCGGGGCTGGAGACCGACGGCCGGATCCCCGGTTCCGCTTTGTTGGCGGCGGCGGCGGCGGCGCCATCGTCGCGGCGCAGCAGCAGCGTGGTGGCGCCGGCGTCGCAGTCCTCGTCCTCCTCGGTGATGGCGGAGGCCGAGAAGTGGATGGCGAGCGACTGGCGCGACGCCGAGCGCTGCACCTGCAGCACCGGCTTCACCGGCCGCTCGCCGGCGCCGCCCCCCAGCACGGGGGCCGCTCGCGCCGGGCTCGTCATGGCCACCTGACGGGGTCGCACGGGGTCACGCACGGGGTCACGCACGGGGTCACACACGGGGTCACACACGGGGTCCGGGGTACACACGGGGACACGCTGACCGCACAGGGGCTCGGGGTGCTCCCCCCACGGTGCTGGCGAGCAGCAGCAGCTGGCGCCCGTGAGCGGCGTGCGAAGTCCGCTGGGTTCACAGCAGGAGCGCAAGTACAGTGCACGGCGTGGAGTGCGCGGTCACCAGGTGGTTGGTGGTGGTGGTGGGGTCAAGGATCACTTTGGGCCTCGCGCCGATCAGCTGAGCTGCGTGACTCACGCACTCACGCACGCCCGTCACTTCCGTTCCCGCTGCCTCCGCTCCTCCTCCACCCGCCACCCCCAAGCCCCCACGAGGAGGAGTCCCGGAGACTCGGCGGGGCGACCGCCGTGGGCCGAGCGTGGGGCGACCCGCGGCGCCCCCCCCACCCCCCACCCCCACCACCCCCCCCCCACACGGGTATTTGTGTGAACACACCGGCACACAAATTCCGGCACATGGGCAAATATTTGTCGTTTTTGTTTGGGGGGTTAGATGGCGTAAATATAAATGTGTCGGTAAACCCGCCAACACCATCCAACGGGGCCAACAAAACGTGACGATTAGTTGCTAGTTCAGCAATCACCGGTTGTGTGTTGTAGAGTAAACCAACTATGTAACATTTACTATTATAGTGTAGTGTATAGTGTAGTGTATAGTGCAGTGTATAGTGCAGTGTCTAGTGCAGTGTCTAGTGCAGTGTCTAGTGCAGTGTCTAGTGCAGTGTCTAGTGCAGTGTCTAGCGCAGTGTATAGTGTAGTGTATAGTGCAGTGTCTAGTGCAGTGTATAGTGCAGTGTCTAGTGCAGTGTCTAGTGCAGTGTATAGTGCAGTGTCTAGTGCAGTGTCTAGTGCAGTGTATAGTGCAGTGTATAGTGCAGTGTCTAGTGCAGTGTCTAGTGCAGTGTCTAGTGCAGTGTCTAGTGCAGTGTCTAGTGCAGTGTCTAGTGCAGTGTATAGTGGTGTAGTAGTATAGTGTAGTGTATAGTAGTGTAGTGTGTAGTGTAGTGTCTAGTGTAGTATACTAGTACAGCACACACCAGGTTGTGTGTTGGAGAGTAAACCCACTACAACATTTATTACTATAGTGTAGTGTATAGTGTAGTGTATAGTGTAGTATACTAGCTCAGCACACACCGGTTGTGTGTTGGAGAGTAAACCCACTACAACATTTACTATTCGAGTCACCGTGACGATTACAACAACAACAACAACCAGCCTCATCAGGTGGACAATGAGAATTGTGGAGAAATCCTCCTCCTGCTTTGGGTCTTAAAAATGTTACTTTTTTTTATGTGTCGCACCAGTCGCTCGATGTTGCGATGATGCGAGGGGGGGGGCGGAGCGCAGTGAGGAAGGATCTTTGGGGGCTGTTAAATATTGGGGGGGGGGCGGGGGGGGGGGACTTAATGCCAGCTGAGAGTGTGAATAAGCAATGAAGTGCACGCATTAGAGATCATCAAATATTTGAATCCGCGCACTCCTGCCCAACTCTCCCCACTCCCCGCGCCCCCCTATCCCTCCTGCTTCCACAAACTATTTATTTGATTTTACCAGGCATGGTGCACCACTGGGCTACATAGCTCTTTATTTCAGAAGTGACCTGACCATCGCTAGTGACAGCCCAACCAACGTGGCTTGTCGTCGCGTGGGACATTTGCGACCATGGGGAGAAACAGACACCGCAGATATACAGCAGCAGGCATCGTGAGGGTCGGGATCGGAACCACGACCTCCTGCGTACCAAATGAGGTAGTTAACATCTCACCGCAGAGAGAGGCAAACTCCAAATATACAGCAGCAGGCGTCAGGGTCGGGATCGAACCCCACGACCTCCTGCGTACCAGGTGAGGCAGTTAACGTGTCACCACAGCAAAGCCACTCCCCTCCATTCCCAATCCTCCTCTCCCATCCCCGGGGCGCGACGCCGGGGGCGACCTGTGGCGGTGCCGTTACCTTGGCTCACGCCGTCCGCCGCTCGTCCATCGCTGCCGGCGCTCGGCTCGGGAGAGCAGCTGGGGCGGTGCCGGTGGGGGAGCAGCGGGGGGGGGGGGGGGGCGAGGGCCGGGGATGGTCGCCTGCCGGAGCCTCGGTCCTGAGCCGGGACAAACGCACGGGACGGATGTGGGGTGTGTGGTGGGGGGTGGTGGAGGGGGCGGTGGAGGGCGCGGGGAGGAGGGGTTATTGCCGAACTCGGGGGAGCGGGCGGTCGGGCAGGCGGGCGCCGTCACCGAGTTAACAGCGCTCGTAAATTAACCACGTGCATGGCGGTGACGGCTGCGATAGTGATAATGGTGGTGCCACTCCCCTGCCTCTCCCCTCTCATCTCACTCCACTCCCCTCCACTCACTCTCCTGCCTCTCCCCTCTCATCTCACTCTACTCTCCTCCACTCACTCTCCTACCCCTCTCATCTCACTCCACTCACTCTCCAACCTCTCCCTCTCATCTCACTCCACTCCCCTCCACTCACTCTCCTGCCTCTCCCCTCCCATCTCACTCTACTCTCCTCCACGCTCTCTCCTGCCTCTCCCCTCTCATCTCACTCTACTCTCCTCCACGCTCTCTCCTGCCTCTCCCCTCTCATCTCACTCTACTCCACTCCCCTCCACGCACTCTCCTGCCTCTCCTCACTCCACTCCCCTCCCCTCCACCACGCACTCTCCTACCTCTCCCCTCTCATCTCACTCCGCTCCCCTCCACGCACTCTCCCGTCCCACCTCATCCCCGACCGTGCTCCACGCGGCCCCGGTAAACCCTCCGCTCCCGGGTAACGTGCCAGCCACCGCGGCCCGAGTTTCGCCGGCGACAAAGAAACAAAAACGGCCTCTCAGTTCAACAGCGGGCCTCCTCGGCCGGAATCAAACGGGGCGAGCGAAAGAAGAAAGGCCGTGCACGAGCGTCGCCCCCTGCGACGCTCTCGCCAGATCGCGTTTGCCTGCGGAAGCGTTGAATCAGCGCGATGGAAGGGGGGCAGGCGGGCAAGGCAGCTGCCAGGGCATCGCACACGGTCGCGTATATGGCTAATCGTGCCGTTGGCGCTGGGTCGTGCCCCTTTCCTATGTTACGGGTACTCACGCTTCTGGTCTCCAGGTTGCCTGCCTGGGGAGAGCCCCCCACACCCCTCACCCTCCCCACGTCCCCGCCCCCCATAGCAAGACGACTTCACACTCCAGATTGATTCATGCCACGTCAGTGGGACGGTAGTTATCGTGCGAACGGGCGCACGCACGCACGGATGGATGGGCGGACGCACGCACGGACGCTTTAAAGCGTTGTCCGGTCGGCGTTGACAACGCCGACTAAGTTAGCGCTGCCCCAGAGATATCACAAGGCCTGGTCTGGCACTGGTGAGATTTGGCGAGCGTAGCGAGCGTGGCGGTGACCCCGGGTCCCCCGACGCCGACGATCGATGGGGCACATTGAGTGCCCCGGCTCTGCAAGGCCCCGGGGGTGGAAGGGAAACGCAGGATCCTGATCCGGAGCCGGAGGGGACTTGGAGTCGGAACAAATCCCCCACCACCCTCCCCACCCACCCCACCCACCACACCCACCCCGTTACGAACGTGCGGCGTCTGCGACCGGGACTACTCGGGACGCGCCCCGCGTCGCCAGAAAACCCCGCCGGCTGAGCGGAGTAAGGGCCTGGACGGCGCTTGGGTGGGCGACCGCCAACATGGCACACCGCTGCCGCCCGCTGTCGGGGTGGATAAAGCGAGCACCACTTTGTGGGCGGGGGAGATCAACAGCTGTTGTCCTGTTAAGAGACTCGGCACCACCCCCTCCCCTGCCACAGGAATGTGGAATTTCTACACCAACGCCCTCAATGACCGCTTGAGCGGCAGGAGATCGCCGTGGCTCGGCCGGGGCCGGCTCGGCACGGCTCGGCACGGCTCGGCACGGCTCGGCACGGCTCGGCGTACACGCGAGTCACTTGGTGCGTCCGGGGCTGAGACACCGCCAAGTGGCTACACCAGTGAAACCAGTTTGATAACTGTGGCTGTGGCGGCCCGAGACGCGGATTCAAGCACACGGGATGCCAGCGGTTCCAGCTCAGCGATCCGGACGTCTCAGCCTCCCCCCCCCCAACTTCCTCCTCCGCATCATTGCGAGATTAAGAATCCGAGGATGCATCACCCCTCACCCTACCCCCCACAATCACCCACACACTCCACCACAGCCACCACCACAAAAGACAAAGATCCCCCTCCGTGTAGCCTTAACAGACCGTTGGGGAAAGTGCTGTTGGCGAGTAGCGCCTTGTGAAGGCCGGCACGGCGCACGAGTGGGAGGGGGTGGCCAGCACCACGCCCGGCCGCCTTTGTCTCCCCAGTACTGATGTTTACACACCACGCCCGAGTCACCCTAGGGGAGGCCCAGGACCGGTTCAGATAATCGTCACCGGTGATGGTGGCCGTAAGCGGGAGTCGAACTCGGGTCTCTGCCGGGTTTGTAGTGCAGCGTAGCGCTAACCGCTGCACTACCGCCACCGCCGCTGGCATCACCACCGCCGCTGCCGCCGCCACAACCGCCAACACCAACCACCGCCGCCGCCGCCATCACCGCCAGCATGGGCCTCCTCTGCAGAGGCAACCACAATGCCGGATATCTCAAGCGTCGCTTTGCCATTACCGGGAGATCTCACCAAATATTTTATCGCCAGAAAGGGTAAAAACCTCTTCTTATTTTTCATACTTTGATGCTGGCAAGAAAGCTATCCCATGATATAGCTGCTCACCCCGAGCGATAAACGCTCCAATACGTGCATAGTCCTTGTACTGGTCACCTTTTGGTGTTGTTCTCTGATCTGACACTGGAGGTGAGACTAGGCCATGAATGAAGGCTGCTGACTCTGGTGTAGGCCAATCAGTTTCAAAGACAACGCATCAAATATTACCAGAGCCACGTGTTTGTTTGTGTGTTCACCACAAGCAGTGAAGCCCTGCATCGGACCCCTTGGCTGACAAAGTGACTCATAGACTAACAGAGATTCACATGGACACTCATAGACTCACATAGAGACCCACAGACTCTCATAGAGACCCACAGACTTACAAATGACCACGGCCAGGTCTGTCTGGGCGAGTGACCGAAAAATGTTTTCACACCCATCACGCCACATGCAAGTGTACCACTCATAGGCAGACAGAGGGGGCACTGAGACACGTGAGAGAGAGAGAGACACGTGGGACAGAGACAGGGACAACGAGACACCGAGACACAGTCCGATCAGAGACAGTGAAACGAAGACACGAGGAGACAAGGAGCACGTGGGAAGACGCAAATGGGGTGGGCGCGCAGCGAGAGGTGGCGGGGAAACGGGACACGGGGCACATTCGCCCCGGTCCATTAGCGCCGAGCTGCGATCGTGTTTAGGAAAGCACCCAGACACAATTCACTCCTGGGCTCACCCCAACTCCCTTCCACACCACTGCCTGTGATGACGGCACCACGCAAAAAGGAGAAAGCCTTAACAGACTGTTGGGGGCAAGTGCTGTTAGCGAGTAGCAGCGCCTATGAAGGCCGGAACGGCACACGAGGGGGTGGGTGGCCAGAACCACGCCCGGCCGCCTTTGTCTCCCTAGTGGCGATATATTTTTTTAACACACCGCACCGGGTACTCATTTGAGGCCGAGTCGACCTAGGGGAGGGCCCAGGACCGGCTCAGATAATCGTCACCGGTGTTGGCCGTGAGCGGGAATCAAACTCGGGTCGCCAGGTTCGTAGCGCGGCGAGGCTAACCACTACACCACCGCTCCCCACAATTCACTCCCTTTCACAATTACTGTGCAAGCGTTACACACACAGGCAAGCCAGGCAGCACAGACTCATACCCACTACACCCCTACCACTAACACTACCCCACTCACCATACCACACACACCATACCACACACACCACTAACACTACCCCACTCACCCCTACCACTCACCATACCACACACACCACTAACACTAACCCTACCCCACTCATATCCCTACCACTCACCATACCACACACACCACCCCACTCACACCCCTACCACTCACCATACCACACACACCACTAACACTACCCCACTCACCATACCACACACACCACTAACACTAACCCTACCCCACTCATATCCCTACCACTCACCATACCACACACACCACTAACACTACCCCACTCACCATACCACACAAACCACTACCACTCTCACCCCTACCACTCACCATACCACACACACACCACTAACCCTACCCCACTCATATCCCTACCACTCACCATACCACACACCACTAACACTAACCCTACCCCACTCACATCCCAATCACTTACACACTTACCCTACCCAAACACACGCCTAACACTCACCCCTACCCCCTACCAAACACACCTCTGATACTACCAATCACACCACGAACCCAATAACCTGACAACCACCCTAAGCAAGCACATCTCTGCCCATGACCCAAACCCACCCCCGCTGTAAATGTATGCGTGTCTGTTGAACTTCTTTCGCACCGTACGTAGCCAAGCGTAGCTAATCGGAGGTACGTGAGGGGGAAAAGACAGCAAACTAAACACCAAAAAGCAGTTCGAAAGAAATGCGTCCACGAGTTTTATGTAAGCCCTTCTTCTCAACTCTGACCCATGCATCTGCTTCGTATGTCAGCACCGCGGCACCCCGCACCCTGTTGGGCATCCCGCCACCCCGAGTAAACATCTGACGCTCGCGGCCATAACCCTACTGCCCTGACCTCAACACAGATAATATTAATAATAATGTTTTCATTCCTAAGTCGCCCCTGGAACAATGGTTCTCAGAGCGCCGTGCGTGTAGAGGAGGAAGGGATGAGTGAGAGGGAACTGGGGAGAGAGAGAGAGATAAGAGAAACATGATAGAGACCTAGAGACACAACGAGACAGAGACACACACACACTAGAGAACCACCAGACAGAGACACACACACTAGAGACACAACGAGACAGAGACACACACACACTAGAGACCTAGAGACACAACGAGACAGAGACACACACACACTAGAGACACAACGAGACAGAGACGCACACACACTAGAGACACAACGAGACAGAGACACACAATAGAGAACTAGAGAGTGGTGTG